TCGGCGTGGCAGCCGTCATCTGTGCGCCCCGCCTTTTTGAAGCTAGCTCGGTCTCTCGCTGGCTCAGCTGCGAAGAGCAAAGTTGGCGAAGCCCCGGCCGGGCAATGGCTTTGCTTGCCGGATATTGCCACTTCTCTTAATTACCCGCTGGTCTCGGCTCTTGCACGGACCGCTCATGCGCGGGCGGAAACTGTCTACCGCCAGGCTCAGACGGCCAAGAATCGCGACTGGAAAAGGTGGGTCGAGTCTCACTCACTGAACGGGGGCGCTGCTCTGTATGCTTGCAGCAAGCCGCCCATTCATTGGCGCGGCAGCAGTCTTTCGCCCGCAGGTTCTCCTGCCGCGCAGCAAGAGGAAGTGATGGGGGCTGGAGGCTGAGTGGGCGGGGTGGTGGCCGTTTGGAGCGCTGTCAGACGATCTAGAGTGGCCCAGCGACTTGGGGCCCGAGTTTGCACCGCCGAGGTTGGAAGAGCTCAAAGCAGTGCTTAAATCTTTTCCTAGGAAGTCAGGGTGCGGGTTCGATCAGATCAGCCCTCGGCAGCTTCTTCACCTTTCTGACTTTGCTCTGCTCGGGTTCATGCAGATGCTGGTTGACATTGGGCGCGGTGGATCGTGGCCGTCGGGATTCGCCAAGATTGTTGTTCTGGCGAAGAGGGAGGGGGGGCTTGGGCCGATCGCCCTCATTCACATTCTCGCGAGGGTCCAAGGCCCCGCTCGTGGCCCAGTGGTAGCAGCGTCATCTGAGAGAGTATTGGTGGGCCACTTCAGGGCGCAGCGGCGATAGGTTGGTCTGCTGGGTGCAGTCAGCGGCGCCCGGGTGGGCACGGGCCCGCGGCTTTTCGAGCGGGCTCGTCCTTCTAGATATCCCAAAGGCGTTTGAACACACGCGGCGCGCGGAGCTGCTCCTTGCCGCGGGGCGTGCAGGCTTTCCGCTCCGCCAGCTGAAGTTACTGGTCGAGCGTTTCCGCCTGCCCGGGGTTTTGAAATCTAATGCTGCTGTTTCGGGCCCTGTTTCAACTCTGGCGGCGGCGCTGCCAGGGTGTCACTTTGTTATTCTAATATTACAGATGGTCCTGATATCACCTCTGGGCGCTGTCTAACAGCGGTTTAAACTTGCGTGCCAAGGGGCGGTGGTGGGCATTGACTTTTCGGCCGCGAAGGTTCATGTCGGAGCCGCGCGCCACGAGCGAAGAGCTCTTGGGCGCGCGAGAGCCGCGCGGCCCTTCACTTGTTGCAAGCACGTCTTCCAGCGGCGCATGCACGCGATGATTCAGGCAGCTGTCTTGGCCTCCACTGGTTATGGGGGCAAGGTGCGCGGCCCCTGCAATGCGTCCTCGCGAGAGGCGCGGGCCATGCAGGCTCGCGTCCAGAGCTTCAGCCTTGCGGGGCAGAATCGCATCTCCCTCATGCTCATGTTGCCTGGTGAGCCCCTGTGCGATTCTGCCTTTCGTCTGCAGCTGGATCCGCTCATTGCGTTTGCTGCGGCCGTCTGGGATTCCATCCTCCCTCGGCGCTTGCTTCCCCAAGGGCTCCAGGAGGCCGTGGCCGCTTTCCAGGGCCATGAGAAACCGTTGGCCGCCATTCGGGGTCCCTTCGCGACGTGCGCGGCCACGGCCAAACGTCTGGGGTTTATTGCCGACGGCTCTGTCTGGAGTCGCGACAGGTTCGGCGGTGTCGATTTGCTGCAGCAGTCGCCGCGCACTGTTCGTGCCTGGATCATTCGTGTCATTCAGCATTTGTTGTGGAGCAGGGTCGCCGTGCGTGAGGGGGTACCTGCGCTTGCCAACCGGTGCGACCTTGCTCCACTCCTCTCCCTCCTGCGAGGCCATGTCCTCGCGCCGCAGGAGAAAAGGGCATTTGAGGTCGGTTGTCGCGGGGGGGGGGGGGGGGGGGTCAGTGGCCGCAGCATCGACAGTGGCGTCGCGGACATGCCTCAGACGGCCTTTGCTGGCGGACTCCCGACCACCCGCGTTTGTGTTCGGCCTCGTTCGAGCTGCCGCTGAGCCGCTTCCTCTCCGCTTCGCCGAGAGGCTGCTTGTGCCGATTGCTGCGCCCCCCCCCCCCCCCCCTTCCACCGTGGCTCATGCGAGATGGTATGGAGGAGGGCCTGCTGAGATGGGGGGGGGGGGGGGGGGGGGCGTGTTTTTTTCTCGACGGGTCATGGGTGGACCAAGGGCTCCCAGGGCTGCCTCAAGCGCTTGCTTGGGCCTTGTTGGCCATCGACCCTGATAGTTTCCGCGCTGTTTCCGTGTTTTGTGGCACGCTGGACTTGATGTGTGCAGACATAGATGCGGCCGATCTGACCGCGCTCCTGCGGGGTCTGCTGCGCTCGGGCCCGGGCGCGACGTTCAACGCAGACAGCGCGTTTGCGCACGAGGGTTTGTATCGTCGAGGCCGTCAGTTCTGCGAGTCCTCGCGCTCGGCGTGGGCCGGGCTATGGATCCAAGTCTGGCACCAGATCGCAGTGTGGGGGTGGGTGGGTGGGTGGGTGGGTGGGGGGGGCTTGAGTGCGCGCGCGTGGTCAAAGTGCGAGCGCGTTGCACGCGTGCGGGTCTCCAGGCTGGCCTCTCCACCTCTTTCATGCAATGCTGGAAGTGACCTTGCTGACGACTGGGCTCAGTGGCAGTGTGACAGATCGCGCGTGCCTGGGCCCATCCGGACGTCGTGGATCGCCAAAACTAGAGTTGCTAAAGAGTGGGCCACCTGGGTCGCTCGCATCGGTCCTGTCACGGCCGACGTTGACGCCGAAACACGTGACCGCCAGGCAGCGGTCGGCTCGACAGCAGGCAGCTCAGTGTGCGCCCGTGCTGCATGTCCAGCAGCCACCGCCCGCGCGTCTGCCCCGTGTGCTTTCACGGGCCGACCTGGCGTGTGTCAGAGTGGCCGCCTCCAGCGAGGCACGGCAGCATGTAGTGATCCTTTCCAAGTCGTTGTCGGGGGGGGTCGTCGTATGTGCTGCGTGGTGTGCTGCGTCTGTGGGAAGGGAGGAGCTCTTGTCACCGCTAGCCTCTCGGTGGCCTGTGAGGGTCCGCCGCCCGCGGGGTCGCGGGGCGCCCGCGTCCTGGCCAACCTTGCCAAGACGCCGGCCAGGTTTCAGGTTAATAAGACTTGGAGATTCCTCGTGACCCCGTTCACGACGGCAGATATCATTCGTGCTGGAGAGACCAGCTCGGGAGCTGCACCTCGTTCGCTTGTTTGAGTTTTGTTCGGAGGCGCCGCCCGCCTCTGCCCTTTGGGCATGCGGTGGCGGAAGTGGTGCGTGGCGCGGAGCCTGACTTCGCGCGGGGTCGGGTCCAGGAGGAGGAGGAGGAGGGGGGGGGGGAGGAGGGGGAGGAGGAGGGGGAGGGGGGGGAGGAGGAGGAGGAGGAGGGGGAGGGGGAGGGGGAGGAGAAGGAGGAGGAGGGGGAGGAGGAGGAGGAGGAGGAGGAGGAGGAGGAGGAGGTGGAGGAGGAAAAGGAGGAGGAGGAGGAGGGGGAGGGGGGGGACGAAGAGGAGGAGGGGGAGGAATAAGAAGAATAACATTCAGAAGAAAAAGAAAAACACTACTGATAATAGTACTTAGAATACCAATAACAATAGAAATAGTAAGATCACTGCGAATAAAAATAGTATTAGTAATACTAGCAGTAATAATACTCATACTAATACGAATCATACTATTAATAGTAATAATACTATTATTATTATTACTAATATAATTAATACTAATAATAATATTAATATTATTGATACTAATATTAATAATCATAATACAAATACGAATAATCATACTATTAATACTAATACTAACACTTATAATAATAACAATTATAATAATACTAATATTAATAATGACATTAATAATAACGATAGTACTACTAATACTACTACTACTACTACTAATAATAATAGTAATACTAATACTAATACTACTAATAATACTCATAATACTACTACTACTACTAATAATACCAATAATACTAATACTAATACTAATAATAATAATAATACTACTAATACTAATAATATTATTGATAATAATAATAATAATAATAATAATAATAATAATAATAATAATAATTATAATAATACTACTAATAATAATACTACTACTAATAATAATAATGATACTAATGATAATAATAATAATAATAATAACAATAATAATACTAATAATAGTAGTAATCATACTACTTAGAAGAACAAGAACTCTTATAAAAATATGAAGAAGAAGACGACTACTAATGATACAAAGAATAATAAGAATACTGCGAAGAAAAAAAAAGACGAGTCAGACTAACAATGATAAGTATAATACTACTACTACTAATAAGAAGAAGACGACGAAGACGATGAGGAGGAGGAGGAGGAGGAGGAGGAGGAGGAGGAGGAGGAGGAGGAAGGGGAGGAGGGGCAGGGGGAGGAGGATGGGGGAGGGGAGAGGGGGAGGGGGGGGGAGGGGAGGGGGGGGAGGAGGAGGAGGCGGAGGAGGAGGAGGAGGAGGCGGAGGAGGAGGAGGAGGAGGAGGAGGAGGAGGAGGAGGAGGAGGAGGAGGAGGAGGAGGAGGAGGAGGAGGAGGAGGAGGCAGGAGGAGGAGGAGGAGGAGGAGGAGGAGGAGGAGGAGGAGGAGGAGGAGGAAGGGGAGGGGGAGGGGAGGGGAGGAGGAGGAGGAGGAGGAGGAGGAGGAGGAGGAGGAGGAGGAGGAGGAGGAGGAGGAGGAGGAGGAGGAGGGAGGAGGAGGAGGAGGAGGGAGGAGGAGGAGGAGGAGGAGGAGGAGGAGGAGGAGGAGGAGGAGAAGGAGGGAAGGAGGAGGAGGAGGAGGAGGAGGAGGAGGAGGAGGAGGAGGAGGAGGAGGAGGAGGAGGAGGAGGAGGAGGAGGAGGGGACTGGTGATGAGACGGGTGGCGGTGATGATGATGCCATGGAAGATGATGGCGATGCTGATGAGGGTGAGGCGGCAAGGGAGGAAGGATGAGGGGAGGAGGGATGGAGGAACGGCGAAGTGGGAGGGCGCAGCCGCAGGTCGCCGAGGACGCTGGCGGCGGGGACGCCGAGGAGGCTTCCTCCTCGGACGAGGACGGCGAGGAGGCCCGGCCCCCCCCCTTGGGCACGAGGTAGACGGGTCCTGGAGCGAGGGGGATTTGAGCACAGGCAGGGGCGCGCGTGCCTCTCTTCGAAGAGGAGCAAGTCGCCTTGTTAAATTGATTGCGCCCCCCTTCCCCCCCTCGTAGACCAGATATTGGCTGCTCTCGGCGGCTGTTTTTGGCGAATGGTCAGGGCCCCCCTCCCCCAGTCTGCTTGCGCGACTGGTAAGCGCAGGTCGACTAAGCACCGGCTCTTATCCACGGCCCCTCTCCCACCCCTCGGCCAAATGTCGAAGCCCAGGATAAGAAGAACGCCTACAGTGGAGACCCATGCCAAGAAACACCCTGTTGTATCCAGGGTGCCCTGGGTTTCCTGGATTTCAATGGCTTTGCGGTAAAAGGTGTGATTTTCCCACGCCAGGAATCAATGCACGCCCTGGGGTCTCCAGGGTGGGTTTCTTGTGGAAGGCTTCTTGCGGTCGAGCTCCTATTGTAATGCACTTGTAGGCGCTGCAAGAAGGGCCACTCTGGGCTCGGGAGAGAGGCCCATGGTCTTCGGGCTGTTCCTCAGATCCCAGGTCCGGGAACCCATTCGTGGCCGAGGCTCGCCGTTGTCGGAAGAGCCCCTTCGCTCTTTCTTTGGCGTTTCTTATGGCAGCTCGTCGGCCGTGTACACGCAAACTCCTGGAGGCCCCCGCGCCGATCCGAGAAACCCGCGCGGACCTCCGAGACGTTTTATTCATGCCGTTGTTCTTCTTCAGCGCACGTCAGCGTGACCATCGGCCGATGTGACCTTCCAGTGCGCCGCTGTCTGGAGGTGCGGGGGGGTGGGCCAAACCAAACACCGCGTGCAACGACGATCGTCACGCCGCGCACGAAGGGTTTCGTTTACCCAGAGCCAATCTTGCGCGTAGCCGATCCTCTCCTCCACGCCGTGCCGAGCCGCTCCAGCCTCTTCCTCCTCCTCCTCCTGTCTCTTGGGCCCGAGCCTCGGGCTGTTCGCTGTTTTTTTGTTAGAACTCCCTGCCGTTCAGTGTCGGGTGCCCCAGGTCCTGGGTTTGTTTCGCAGTTTTTGGGTTCCTGACACCGGTTTCGGAACCCCGGGTCCGTCAACAAAAACGTCTCGGGATGAGAAACTGGTCCAGGATTCGCTTCTACCTAGACCAGTTTCTCTCCTGCCAATTTCCTTCACTTCCTCCACGGTCCTGGCTCCTCCATCTCCGCCTCGCCTCTCGCTCCTTGCTCATCCTCCTTGTCGTCCTCTTCATCTACCGTCTTCTCCCTCCTCGTTCCTCCTCACGCCTCCTCGCTCCTCGCTCCTAGCTCCAAGCTCCCATTTCCGCGCCGTTCTCGTCTTCCCTCCTTGAGAGATCACCTCGACATAATCTACCTTGATCTTATAGACCCATGTGTTTGTGTGCATGTGGTTTGCGCCTGTCTCGTGCCGCCGCCTGCTGGCTGGTCTGGCAGCCTCGCAGTGCTTCTTCTACGGGCTTCTAGCACAAGGCTGCGGCCGCGATTCAATTCCTGGCGTCGAGCTACGCTCCGCGGGATGCTTGGCCGCTACATTCTACCCGCTAATTGGCACCAGGCTGCTGCCCGCGCTTCAACTCCTGGCGTCGAGTAATTACGCTCCGCGGGATGCTTGGCTGCTGCACGTTGGCTTTTTAGTGCCACATCTTTTCACCACCGCCAACAACCTGCATGGCCGTGGCTGGATTATTTCATCACGGCGCGTTCGACGAAGTTCGTTCGCAATTGGCACCTCCGTCTGCCGACTGCGCCTGATGTTCCTCTGTGCCGCTGGCTTACAGGTGTTTGTGTGTGTGTGTGTGTGTGTGGGTGTGCGTGTGGCTTCACAGTTCTTGGGCGTGTCGCCCTAGTGGGGGCACCACCATCTTTACGGCGAGCGTGATCTGGCGCGTTCCGAAGAACTTGACGCTTTGATGGCCCCCCCCGCCGCGCGCGGCCGTCCTCTTGTGCCTCGTGCTTCCCCCTTCCAGTGTGCCGCAATTCGTTCCGCATGTGTTACACTGTAGCATGCCTGCAGCTCGGATCCGAGACCCCGCCGATCAAACGCATCGTCTCACAGTGCCCAGCGTCTGGCGCCCAAAGGCTGGAACGGAAATCCTTCTTGAGCGAAGGTCGCGGAGCAGACCCTGTGTTCCCAAAGTACATCCAGGGAGGATAAAGAGGTGGATCCATGTCGTTTTTGGAGAGTGGGGGGGCGGGGCGGATATGACGAGTACCAAGGGGCGGAATTATGCAGGATCGGGGCGTGGATCCAGCGAAGGTTCAGGTGGAACCAGGGAAGAACGAGAGGTGGATCCAGGTGGATCCAGGTGGATCTAGGGAGGCTCAGGCGGCTCGCCCGGAGATCACCAGGAGAGGTGCATGTAGGGAGGCTCAGGAGGTAATGGAATTGTTTCAAGGGGCTCAAGGTGGTGGATGCAGGCAGGCTGGGCGAAGGCGAAGGGCCGGAGAGAAAAGGGAATGACAGGGGAGGGAACTATTGGGTGGGGGTGTACGAGGGTGGCAGGGGATGTGAAAGAAGGCGAAGGGGGGGAGCGAGAGGAGAAAAGATGGGACAGAATATGGGATATTCGGGTTGTGCGAGGGGGTCGAGGAGGGAACGGGGGGCAAAGGCGGAGTGGGTAGTATAGGGGCGGGGGATGTGGGGGGATGTGGGGGAAGGCGGAAGGGAGGTGCATGGATGGTGGGGAGACGGGAGGGGTAAGGGGAGACAAGGGGAATGAGGAATGACGGCGATGATGCTGAGCATTATGCCATGGTTGATGCTCGTGCTGGCAACGGTGACGAATCTGATCATACCAACGACGATGTCAACGACGACGTTGGTGGATGATGCTGGTGATGATGCTGGTGATGATCAGGAGGATGGTCGTGATGCTGGTGCTGATGACGAGGGTGCTGCTGCTGATGATGATCATGGTGTTGTTGTGGTGGTGGTTGTTGTTGTTGGTGTTGTGAAAGTTGTGGTGTTTATGTTTGTTGTTGCTGCTGTTGTTGTGGTTGTCGTTGGTGTGGTTGATGCTGTTGTTGTTGTTGTTGGTATTGTTGTTGTTGTTGTTGTTGTTGTTGTTGTTGTTGTTGTTGTTGTTGTTGTTGTTGTTGTTATTGTTGTTTTTGCAGTTGTTGTTGTTGTTGTTGTTCTTGCTGTTGTTGTTGCTGGTGACGGCGACGATGGTGCTGCTGCTGATGGCGACGACGACGCTGATGATGATGATGATGATGATGATGATGATGATGATGAGGAGGATGAGGATGATGATGCTGCTGCTGATGATGATGAGCATGATGATGGTGATGATGAAGATGATGACCACCAGGCGCAGGATGCGGGAGGACGAGGACATGGAATGGCATATTCATAAATCTACTCTGAAATAGAAAAGGACTCATGGGGAGGAGGAGGAGGAGGATGAGGAAGAGGAGGAACAGGAGGTGGTGGCGGTGGTGGCGGTGGTAATGTCCAATAATAACGCAAGGGAGAGGGGGAGGGGGCATAAGGAACTCAGGGGTAATGAGAGGATAGGGGAGGGAGGTGAGGGGGTAAGCAAACTAGATGCACTCGCGCCACATCTGACGTCTTACCGCATCCCTTTCCATTGCGCTGATTCTTCTTTATTCGTCGACGGGTGTCATAGCACACATGGATCCCCCCCAAAGACCCCATTCTGTTATGCGCAGTCAGAAGAGAGGAGGGATTGTGCACATCGGAGGAAGAGGTGGCGGATGAGCTGGAGGATTAGCAAGAGGAAGAGAATGATGAGGATGAGGAAGAGCAGCTGGAACGCGATTAGGAGGAGCAGGAGCAGCAGGAGGACCAGGGGAAGGCGGAGGAGTGAGGAAAAGCGGGGAGACATTGACGAGGCAGGATTTTGGTCCATACTTGTGGTCCGCGCTATTGCGGGAGCGCCATTCTGAAAAATGGAGCAAAGCGTCGATCCCAACACGAGGCCAACGCTGCAGCAGGAACACCAACACTGAACAACACTGTAAACCATAAGCTATTGGAATCCTGTTCGCTAAAGGCTAAGCAGAAGAAAAGGGGCCCCGCTCGAACACGATCCTGGGAGAGAGGAACATCGTATTCATATTGAGTAATTGTGGATGGAGGCGAGGCGGGGACCGACTGAGGAAGGGTTCGAAAGGGGAGGGGGAAGATGTGGGGGGCAATAGGGCAGAGATGAGAGGGGAATGCGAGTGGGGAGGCGGAACACCTCTTTCTCATCCTGCCCCAGGTAGTGGCGGTCGTCGTCGCCGTCTTCGTCCCGCTACGTCTGCTTCTCCTCTTTTTTTTCTTCCTCTGCCTTCCGCCTCCCTTCATTCCTCCCCCCTGCTCTACCTCCTCTCTCCTCCACCCTCGGTCCTCCTTCCCTTGTCTGTCGTCAGTTTTCCATTTTCCCCTTCCTCTCACCCTCCCTCCCGTCCTCGTCCCTCCTCCGGGCACCCCCCTTCGAGGAGGAAAAACCACTCGGACCGGACAACTGGCGTCTACTAAACGGCCTTGGGCGTTTACTAAACAGCCCTGCCCTGTTCGATTCCTTCGGTGGGGGCGTTCAGTAAACGGCTTCGCGTGTCGGGGTGGTTATTTTTTGGGGGGATTTTTTGCCCTCTACCTTTCACTCCTCCCGTGTCCTCTGTCCTCCGCCTACTTCCCGCCGCCCTCTCTCCCTCGCCCCCCCCCGTCCCCCCACAATCACACAGTTTTGAAAGCTGCTCTCCTCTCTCACCTGACTGTGCAGAGAGCGGACCCAATTCGACTTACGACAGTCGGTTCAGTTGGCCGCGGCTACCCTGGCACCTTCGTAGTATCAGCCGCCCCTGCAGCTCGATGCATGCGTGCACCCCTGGCAGTGCAGCTACCCTGGCAGCCGCCGTCAGCAGCCTGCCTCCACTCGCCGGCCTTGCCGCCGAGGTGCCGCGTGAGGCTTCGGTCCATTGGCTTTAGGCTAATTCGTCTTTGCGCGCCCCGCTCTGACTGGACACGCCGTCGGCGCCTTCGCCTGCGGCCGCTGACTAACAAGTATCCCCACCAGCCCGTCCATAAATGAGTCCCAGGGGAGTGGAGGTGATGAGGGAAGCGGGGGAGCATGCAGAATAACAAAGGGCGGGGTAAGCCGCTATATACCCCAAGAGGGGGAGGATGTATGAGTAGTCGTCGTCGTCGGAGTAGGAGGAGGAAGAGGAGGAGCAGGAGGAAGACCAGGAGGAAGGGGGGAGGAGGAGGAGGAGGAAGATGAGGAGGAGATGGAGGAGGGCGAGGACGTGGATGACGAGAAGGAGGAGAAGGAGAAGGAGGAGGAGGAGGAGGAGGAAGAGGAGGAGGAGGAGGAGGAGGAGGAGGAGGAGGAGGAGGAGGAGAGGGATGGGGAGGAGGGAGGAGGAAGAAAGAAGAGGAGGAGGAGGAGGAGGAGGAGGAGGAGGAGGACAATGGCGAGCTTGGGGGCCTCTTGGGCCGTCTTTGGGGTCTCTTGGCGGTCCCGGGGGCCTCTTGCGTATCTCGGGGAGCCTCTTGGGGCCTCTTGGAGGTCTCTTGGGAGCCTCTTGGAGGCCTCTTGGGCGCCTCTTGGGGCCTCTTGGGGCCCTCTTGGGGCGCTCTTGGGGCGCTCTTGGGAGCCTTCGGGGCGCTCTTTGGGCCATGTTGGAGGAGATCTATCAAAGAAGGGGGGGTCGTATATTAGCCCTGCCCCTCTAGAGTGCCTCGAATCGCTTCTTGGGCCCCTCGTGAGGCGATCTTGGAGCGGTCTTGGGCGCTCTTGGGGCCGTCTTGGGGCTCTCTTGGGCCTCTCTTGGGGCCCTCTTGGGCAATTTTGGAGCCATCTTGAGGCCTGTGAAGGCCATCGGAAGCGAAAAAGCGAGAAAGCCAAAAACATTGATTTCCGTAGGTTTTGGCATGATTTTGGCCTCTCGGGGAGCTCCGTGGGGAGCTCTTTGGCCACTTGGGGCCGTCTTTGTGCGGTCTTTAGGCCTCTTGGAGCATCTTGGGGTCCATCTTGAGGCATTTTGCGCTATCTTGAGCCATCTTGGAGGCTATCTTGGGCTCTCTGAGGCCCTCTTGGAGCCGTCTTGGGCCATCTTGGACGCCACAACGACCCGCGGAACCCTCCGTCTAGGTCCAGGGGAGGGGGTAGGGGGAGGGGTAAACCCCTCGCCGAAGGGGAAGAAGGGGGTTGGAAGAGGAAACTCTCTAGACCACCGACGCCCAGAGGGCTGGTGGGATACCACCCGACTGTTGACAGTTTTTCAAGAATGGGCCTCATTTTCGGATCGGCGCTTGTGCTCCCGTTGTTCAGAATGGCGCTCACGCTGGGGACCATCCTTCTTGATCTTACAGGTCTCGCAGGTCTCGCAGGCATCACAGGTCCCACAGGACCCACAAGTGTCGCAGGTCGTCCCGTAGGTCCCACATGTCCCAGCAGTTTGATAGGTTCCACAGGTCCCACAAGCCCCATATGTGTCGCTGATCTCGCATGCCCCACAGGTCCAACAGGTGCGACAGGTCCCGCAGGCCTAGAGGTGTCGCATGTCTCACAGGTTCCACAGAAGTCCCCCGGGTCCCACAGGTCCCGCAGGTCACGCCGGTGCCACGGGTCCCACAGGTCTCGCAGGTCTCACAGGTCCCACAGTTTCCACAGGTCCCATAGGTCCCACAGGTCTCACAGGTCCCACAGGGTATGCAGGTCTCGCAGGCCCCACGGGCCACAGAGGTCACCCTGGTCGCAGAGGCCCTACGAGTTTGCTTTTTCCCACTGCGCATCACACGGTGGGGCGGTTTGTGGAGTTCCAGGTCGGCTGTGACATGCGTTCGCGGATGGAGAAATATCAAGGATGGGATTAATGGATAGGGGTAGGGACGGGAGGAACACGTCGCAATGGGACGGGATGGAAGGGATGGATAGGATGTCACACATGGCGTGACCGCACCTAGCTTGACCCTCCTCTCTCCTCCCTCCTCTCCTCCAGCCTCCCAGGAGCAAGGAGGTAGGGGGAGGGAGGGGGCAGGAGGGGGGGAGGAGGTGGAGGAAGAGGAGGGGGAAGGGAGGGGCCGGTGGAGGAGGAGCAACAGGAGCCTCTGGCGGCGGTGATGCCGCCTGGTACTCGCCGGCCAGGCCGAGTCCACCAGAAAGAAGGGGGACGGCCACAAGCCCGAAGGCATGTCGAAGGCGGAGTGGAAGGCGGGCGGGCGAGGGCCTTCCCTGCTGCTCTTGCTGCTCCTGCTGCTCCTCCCACGCTACCGGCATCGAGCAGCTGCGCAGGTGCGGCGCTTTTGCTGTTTTCCAGTGTTTTTTTTGGTTATGTTGTTGACCTCTGGTGCTTATTGTGTTTTTAAATGGAAGTGCCCCTCGCGGGGTTCGCATCCTGTGATTTACGAGGGGAAGTCTTAGGGCGCAGATTGGGTTGCTGGCCCCCTGTGCACAATAACTGCAACTTCAACGCCAAACATTTAAAGACTGTTCGCTTTGCTCGTGTGCCATTCAACACGTACTTCCCAAACCCTCGATGCCCGCCCGTTTCGTCTTCGGTCGTACGTCCCTGGGGGGGAACCTTCCTTACCTGCCGCATGTAATTGGTGCAGTCAGTAAAATTATGCTACCGGAGTTCCCCACATAAGGCTGAGGCGGGGCCTCCGCTGGACGGGTGGACGGGGCACGAAACCTAGGAGGCAGCACGGTATCTGAACACCCTCGTCGTTCAGGGGAGGCATCTTTGGAGAGACGGGAGGGCACGAAACCTGCGAAATTTGACGACATCTGCGCTCGGCAGCGTGCTCTTTTGCAGCGCAGAGAAGCTTTTGGGGCGAGCATGCTCTTTCTGCGTGGTGTCTGGCAGAATCGTGCACTTCCCCCTCCTCCTCCTCGTCCTCCTCCTCCTCGTCCTCCTCCTCCACCTCCTCCTCCTCCACTCATTGCCATCGCACGAAACCTGATAAATCACATGGTATCCGAATACTGTCCTCGCTCAGGCGGGGCCTCCCTGGACGAATGGGAGGGGCGGTGGGAGGGGCACGAAACCTGATAAATCACATGGTATGCGAATACTGTCCTCGCTCAGGCGGGGCCTTCCTGGACGGGTGGGAGGGGCACGTAACCTGATAAATCACATGGTATCCGAATACTCTCCTCGCTCAGGCGGGGCCTCCCTGGAGGGCTGGGAGGGGCACGTAACCTGATATAGCACATGGTATGCGAATACTGTCCTCTCTCAGGCGGGGCTTCCCTGGATGGGGTGGGAGGGACACGAAACCTGGTAACTCACATGGTATCCGAATACTGTCCTCGATCAGGCGGGGGCCTCCGTGGAGGGGTGGGAGGGGCACGTAACCTGATAACTCACATGGTGTCCGAATACTGTCCTCGCTCAGGCGGGGCCTCCCTGGAGGGGTGGGAGGGTCACGAAACCTGATAAATCCATGGTGTCCGAATACTGTCCTCGCTCAGGCGGGGCCTTCCTGGACGGGTGGGAGGGGCACGTAACCTGATAAACCACATAGTATCCGAATACTGTCCTCGCTCAGGCGGGGCCTCTCTGGAGGGGTGGGAGGGGCACGTAACCTGATGATTCACATGGTATCCGAATGCTGTCCTCGCTCATGCGGGGCTTCCCTGGAGGGGTGGGAGTGGCACGACACCTGATAGATCACATGGTATCCGAATACTGTTCTCGCTCAGGCGGGGCCTCCCTGGACGGGTGGGAGTGACACGAAACCTGATGGATCACATGGTATCCGAATACTGTCCTCGCTCAGGCGGGGCCTCCCTGGACGGCTGGGAGGGGCACGTAACCTGATATATCACATGGTATGCGAATACTGTCCTCGCTCAGGCGGGGCCTCCTTGGACGGGTGGGAGGGGCACGTAACCTGATAAATCACATGGTATCCGAATGCTGTCCTCGCTCAGGCGGGGTCTCCCTGGATGGGTGGGAGGGGCACGTAACCTGATAACTCACATGGTGTCCGAATACTGTCCTCGCTCAGGCGGGGCCTCCCTGGAGGGGTGGGAGGGGCACGTAACCTGATAACTGACACGTATCCGAATATTGTCCTCGCTCAGGCGGGGCCTCCCTGGACGGGTGGGAGGGGCACGTAACCTGATGACTCACATGGTATTCGAATACTGTCCTCGCTCAGGCGGGCCTGCCTGCAGGGTGGGAGGGGGTGCGACATCATACGAACTCATACGCTATGGTGTGGCATGATACCTTATGGTATCAAACGAAGTCATATGATATGGTGTTGCATGATATCTTATGTTATTGTATGTAATGGTATGGTATGGTATTTATGGTTTTGCGATGGCATGTGGAACAGGAAGCGGGAGAAGGAGAAGGGGAAGGTGAGGGTGTTCTTGGAAAACAAGAACCCCACTCAGGATGTGGGGAACAAGGGAAGAGAGGTCGGATCGAAGGGGGCGGGAGAAGGCTGCATCACAGGATTAGCAGGAGGGGGGGTTACGTGCAGAAAACACGTGGCAGAACCAGACGTGCTGATCAGGCGGGTAGACCCGACGGGGCGGGTCGGGACAGCGGGCCCAAGCGGCCAGGTCGAGCACAGGCGTGTTGTTGAAGCGTGAGCACTGCATGAATCGCGAGGAGGTCTCGAGCGATAGGCGATTCCCAAGTGGGCCGCGAGGAAAACAACCAGATCGAGAGCGCGATTCCTGAGCGTCGAAGGCGCGGCGTTTGAATACATTGCGAGGAAGTCCCACTCGAGATTGTGAGGAAGTCTCGCGCGAGAGCGCGATTTCTCAATGCACTGTGAGGAGGCAGCGGGCGGGAACCCTTGTTGTGACCCCACATTGTCCCTTGTAGAAAACAAGATTCGAGCCCCAGGAGGAGCACTGTAATTGAACACGCGCAGAGGCCACCAGGGAGTGGGGAGCAACAATACTTACTCCTTAGAAATGGGACTTCAACGGCTCTCGTCTGATACTTCTTCACAGGTTATTCTAAATCGCGCTCTTGCGCGGGACGTCCGCACAACTTATGCAGGAGCCGCGCTCTCGCGTGGAACTTCCTCGAAATGCATTGAATCGCCGCGCCCCCAACAATCAGGAATCACGGTCTCGCTATGAATTTCCTCATTATTTATTTTGGAAACGCGGCATCGCTCGAGAATTCCTTGCGATCCATGCAGAGCTGACGCTTCAGCGACCCGCCCGCTCGACCCCGTCGTCTGTGCCCGCACGCCCGACTCGCCGAAAACAAAGGGCAACCATCCCATGGCCAACATCGCGGACGCAGCAACCATCGATGCTTCAAAAGCTCCTAGAAGGCAGGCGACAGAAAGAGAAGCTTCCAACACATTTAGCCAACAGAAGATACTTATGCGCGTCTTCGAAGCATCTTGAGCGGAAAGCTTGGAAGACACGGTAGTTGGGTAAATTTTGGAAGTGTTTCGTTTTCCGGAGATTTTAGCCGTCTTGGTGGTCCTGGTGGGGCTCAATTGGGGCGTCTGGGGCCGTCTCGAAAGCCTTGCGGGGCCCTCTGGGGCCGTCTTGGCCCCCTCGTGTGCCGTTTTGGCACCCTTTGGAGTCCTTCTGGGCTTTACTTGGCCACCTGGCGATTTTGCCGACGAGAGGTGGTGGTGGCGGCCACGACGGGCCGAGAGGTCTGTGCCGAGTCTCGGGGAGCCCACCCGAGGGCCTCGGCATGCCCAGGATCGTTTTCTGGGAGGAGCGTCTGCACAGCGGCCTCCAGCCAAGCCCGTCACAGTGCGTGGGCTGTGGGTCGGCACGGGTGGGAGTGCAGTCGAGACGCTGAGGAAAGGAGCAATTTGGGTTCGGAAGGGGGCGGGATGTTCCTCAGGTTCCTCCAGTGCTGTTCCTCTAGCCCTCCTGGGGCACGGATGCGCTTACGGGGCCAAGAAGGGGCTTCCTTCCTTATTTAGCGTTCCTTCTTTCAGCTGCCCGACTGTATTGCGGTTGCCCAGGATGTCGGCCTCTTCGTTGGCCTCTTGGGAGCTGCTCGCGGTTCCCTCGCAGGCCTCCGCGGGGCCCGCGCGGGGCCCGCTTGGGTCTTGGGGGCATTTTGTGAGGGAGGCTCACGCGGATTCCCAACCGTGTTTTTGGGTGCCCGTTTGCGGCGTGCTGCTTAGGCCACTCTTGGGGGCTGCCCGGGGGGTGATTTTGGGGACCTCTTTTGCAGTCTTGGGCGGTTTTCTAGTTTGGCGTTTATGTTACTAGAACCACGCGCTCGCTTCGCGCGCGCTTCGGTTCTAGCCGCGCCCAAGGAACTCGCATCGCGAGTTGCCAATGAGGCACGAATAAGCGATTCTGGCTTCTTTGGAGGTGGTAATGGGACCTGGGGCCTCTTGGGAAACCTGGGGACCTCACGGGCCCTCTTTTGGGCCTCCTGGGGCCTCTTGTGGCCTCTTGGGGGGCTCTTGGGGCCTCTTGGGAGCCTCAGGGGGCCCAGCAAGAGTCATGCTCCCACTGCACCCGACGCATGAATGGGCACACAACACAATCCGCTGCACCGCAGAGGCGCTGCTGGAAAGTGAGATTGCAACATGGCATGGCTCAGGCAGTGCATGTCCCAATGCGTGAGAGGACTGCCGATACAACTTCGGAGTCATCGTCGAAAGACTGAAAACGTTATCATCTCTCCTCCCTGCTCCCCCCTCCTCCTGCTCCTGCGCTCTACTTTGTTGATGATTGCCAGATGCCACAGCACGAGAGGCCGCGTGTTTCACAGGAGCCCTGATCCGCTGCCGTCTTCAGGTCTCCTCGTCGCGCTGATGCTTTGCGGGGGATGGAGGCCGGGCTGCTCCGCTTGCTGCACGACGCGGGGCAAGCGCTGACCGCCGTCGTGGTGCGCGCGGCGGTGCCCGACTACCCTAACTGCTGATGCGGTCCCTCCCTGCACTGCCCCGCAATGCAGTGCTCGTACCCCGGCGGCGAGAGTACGGTGGCTGCCGCCTCGAGCCCGGGCTGCCCGAGCGGGCAGCTGGCTGGGGTGGCGGCGCTGTCCCTGCTCGCGGGCTGCGGGCTGGGGAACGTGGGGTTCGCCTGGGCGACGCGCGCCCGCGTGCCCGTGGCGGCGACTGTTCGGCCGCAGGTGGAGGTGTCGGTGGCCCCGGGAGAGTGCGACCTCTCGCAGCTGGCGCTGGAGCAGGTCCAGTCATTCCGCCGACGGCCGTCGGCTAACTGCCGTTGAAGGCCACCCCGATGGCGAC